ATATATATATATATATGTGTGTGTGTGTGTGTGTGTGTGTGTGTGTGTGTATGTGTGTGTGTGTGTGTGTGTCTGTGTGTGTGTGTGTGTGTGTGTGTTTACTTGTACATCATTATTATCATTGTTTACACTGTTATCTTTATCTTTATGGTGATGATGATGATGATGATGATGATGATGATGATGATGATGATGATGATAATAATGATAATGATAATAATATTAATAATAATGAAAATGATAATGATCATAATGATAAAGATAATAGTAGTAGTATTAGTAGTAATGATGATAAAAATAAAAATCATTGCTATTATCATTATCTTTATCAATATTATCACTATTACTATTATCATTATTTTTCTTACCATTATCATTTTTATGATCATCGCTGTTATCTTTATCTTTACTAGTGACATTGTCATTATTTTTCTTATTATCTTTGTTTTCATTATTATTATTATTATCATTATTATTATTATTATTATTATTATTATTATTATCATTATTATTATTATCATTATTATTATCATAATTATCATTATAATAATAATAATAATAATAATAATAATAATAATAATAATAATAATAATAATAATAATAATAATAATAATAATAATAATAATAATAATAATAATAATAATAATAATAATAATAATAATAATAATAATAATAATAATAATAATAATAATAATAATAATAATAATAATAATAATAATAATAATAATAATAATAATAATAATAATAATAATAATAATAATAATAATAATAATAATAATAATAATAATAATAATAATAATAATAATAATAATAATAATAATAATAATAATAATAATAATAATAATAATAATAATAATAATAATAATAATAATAATAATAATAATAATAATAATAATAATAATAATAATAATAATAATAATAATAATAATAATAATAATAATAATAATAATAATAATAATAATAATAATAATAATAATAATAATAATAATAATAATAATAATAATAATAATAATAATAATAATAATAATAATAATAATAATAATTATCATTAACAGTGTATTTATTATGATTGTTGTTGATTTTGTTATCATCGCTTTAATCATCGCCATTATTGTTGAAATTATTATTATTGCCATCGTCATCATTATGATGATGATGACTACCAATAATAACGATAGCATTATCATCATCATTAGTGATATCATTGTCATAATCATTATCACTATTATCATTGTCAAATAATAATTATCATTATGATTATCATTACAGTACTATTGCGATTCTCATTACTCTGAATATTACTAGTTTATTTACTATTTACTATATTTACTATTTGATCTCCAACATTATTGATATCTCTTACTTTTAACTCCAGTATCTTACCAATATATTCATAAATATTTAATTTATTTAGTAATGTAACTCCTCTTTACATATTAGCATTATAGCTTTTAAGTTTGTTTAATACACGGAAAAGGCATGAAGGGTAAACAAAAAACTACAGATAAGCTTTATCCTTTATAAAGTTTATAAACAAATATAAATCATTCTCAGTACAGGATGTCCATTACGCACACTTCAGATTACAAGTAGTGAAGCGAAGTTCACCATATCTACTGATGATCCTAGGGGACACATAGTAGGTGTACAGATCCAACAGTCATGGAGGCATCAGAGAACACACTCTCAGCTCAGCACTGAGGTACCCAAGGCCCTACACTTTCTTGTGGGAGCACAGCAGGGGCATCAAAGACAAAATTCTCAGCACGGAGACACGGAGGCATCACAGAAACTATACTCTCAGTACTGAGCACTGGAGCTGTCGTATGTACGAAGTCTAGAGGCATTGTCATGTTCGCAACACTCACCGCCGGGTTGGTCAAACTACACATTTTAATCTCATAACTGATGACCGGAGGCATACGATTGCCTAGGCGCATGGGACTATGAATGATCGCACTGAGGATCCGGGTCATTGGCCAAATCTCAGGGGACCATTATCAAAATAGGTTACTCTCATATATATCATCAACAACATTAAATACATTC